GTCTCCAGGTTTCTGCTCCGTAGCTAAGTACCAGCAAGATAACAGCTTTTATATACCTTCCTCTTGAGGGATAGTGACAATCTACCTGTCATAATCTGAGAGTGCTTGCAAATGTGCTCCACGCCATTCTTATTCTTCTAGTTACTTCAATCTTGTGGTTCGGTTCCGCAGTTATTACATGCCCTAAGTAGACATACTCCTTTACAAATTGAAGTGCACTATTAGCTATCTCGAAGCGCTGCTCTCTTCCGAGGTTGTACATTACTTTCTTTTTCTGCAGATTAATTTTAAGACCCACCTTTCTGCTCTCCTTGTATAACTCCGTAATCATGAGTTGCAATTCGTCCCCTGAGTTACTAAGCAATGTAATGTCATCGGCAAAGCGCAGGTTACTAAGGTACTCTCTATTAACTCTTATCCCTAACTGTTCCCATTCAAGGCTTCTGAAAACCTCCTGTAAGCACGCGGTAAATAGCATTGGGAAGATTGTGTCCCCCTGCCTTACACCCTTCTTGATTGGTATTTTGTTGCTTTCTTTATGAAGCACTATTTTAGCAGTTGATCCCCTGTAGATTTCTTCCAGGATGTTTATATATACTTCATCGACGCCCTGATTCTGCAGTGTCTGCATGACGGCTGATATTTCTACTGAATCAAACGCCTTCTCTTAATTTATGAAGGCTATGTATAGTGGTTGGTTATATTCTGAGCACTTCTCTATTACCTGACTGATAGTATGAATGTGATCAATTTTTGAGTAGCCTGTTCTAAATCCTGCTTGTTCCTTTGGTTGATTGAATTCTAATGTTTTCTTTACTCTGTTAGCAATTACCTTTGTAAATAGCTTGTATACTACAGAGAGCAAGCTGATCGGCCTGTAATTTTCAAGTCCTTGTGTTCTCCTTTTTTATGTATTAAGGTGATGTTGGCGTTCTTCCAAGATTCTGGTACTCATCCCGTCAGGAGACACCTCGTAAACAGTGTGGCTAGTTTTTCTAACACAATCTGTCCTCCATCTTTCAGCAGATCTGATGTTACCTGATCCTTACCAGCAGCTTGCCTCTTTGCATGCTTTGCAAATCTTTTCTTACTTCTTCTATCATTACTGTTGGGGTGTCATCTGGCTTACTGCCAATTATTATGGTATTAAGGTCGTGGTTGTCCCGGCTACTGTGCAGATCTCTGAAAAACTCCTCAGCTATTTTAACTATCCTATGCATATTGGTAGTTATTATGCCTTCTTTATCCCTTAGTGCATACAACCAATTTTTACCTATCCCAAGTTTCCTCTTCACTGCTTTGACGCTTCCTCCGTTTTTCAGAGCGTGTTCAATTCCCTCCATGTTGTACCTTCTTATATAGCATACCTTACGCCTATTAGTCAACTTCGAAAGCTCTGCCAGTTCTATTTTGTCTGTTGTACTTGAGACTCTCATGATTTGACGCTTCCTAATGAGATTCTTCGTTTCCTGGGAAAGCTTGCTAGTGTCCTGTCTAACTACCCGGCCTCCAACTTCCACTGCACACTCCGTAATGATACTCGTCAGATTATCATTCATTGTATCTACGCTGAGGTTGGTTTCCTCACTACGAGCCGAGTACCTGTTCTGAAGCGAGACTCTGAATTCCTGTACTCTCCCTCTCAGAGCTAGCTCATTGATTGGCTTGTTGCGTATCAGTTTCTATCGTTCCTTCTTCAAGTCTAGGCGAATTCGAGACCGTACCATTCTATGGTCACTGCTTCGTACCTTGCCAATCACTTCCACATCCTGCACGATGCCTAGGTGTGCACTCATTATTAAGTCTATTTCGTTCTTAATTTCGCCATTAGGGCTCCTCCATGTCCACTTGCGGTTTCCTCATTTTTGGTAGAAGGTATTCAAAATCTGCAAATTATTGCGTTCTGCGATTTCTACAAGTAGCTCTCCTCTGGCGTTTCTAGTACCGATGCCATAATCTCCTTCTGAATGGTCTCCAGCCTGCTTTTTCCATACCTTTGCATTAAAATCTACCATCAGTATTGTATACTTGTTTTACCTTACTCATTGCCGATTCCACGTCTTTATAGAAGCTTTCAACTGAAGCGTCATAATGGCTGGATGTAGGTGGGTAAGCCTGTACCACCTTCATATTGTATCTTTTATTCAGATCAGTTTAATTACGATACCTACCACCCTTTCATTTATGCTATAGTATTCCTCTCTGTTGCTGGCTATGTTTCTGTGAATTAGGAACCGCACTCCCAGTTCTCTTCTGTCAGCCAAGCCCTGATAGCAAAGGACGTGTCCATTCTGTAGCACCGTATAGGCCTCATCTGTCCTCCTAACCTCACTGAGTCCTATTATATCCCATTTAACACCCTGTAGCTCTTCGAATAGTACAGCTAGACTTCCCTCACTGGATAAGGTTCTAGCGTTAAACGTTGCCAAGTTCAGGTTCCAATGGCGGCCTGTCCGGATCCTGAGATTCTTAGCACCTTCTGCTGCGTTCCAGATCTGAGCGCCGCCGTGGTCAGTTGCTTCGCAGATGCTGGGGACTGAGGGCCGCGAGTTATTTGACGTACGCAAGTGAGAGGTAGTGGCCAGATACTGGTGGGAGGTAGTGGCCAATCCTTCTGTGGTGAGGGAGTGCGTACCCGGCGATGGTTACCGGTGAGGCCGCACTCCAGGCCTCTTAATGCAGTTCCATCACCACGCGGATTTTTTTTATCTGGTTGGGAACTGCGCGGCACCGGGATTTGAACCACGGACCTTTTGCATGCGAGGCGGATGCTCTAACCACTACGCCATTAGTTATCAGGTGACGTTAATAGATGACGATGGTAAATGACACGTCCAAACGTGATAATCATGACATGAAAGTTGTGTATGGCATAACTTACCTCCACCTTGTAATTTTGTGCTGATGTTAAAGTGTCATATGACCCTTTCTCATTCGTGCTTCGCATATCAGCGATTCCCACTATACGTGGGATCTGCCAATTTTTTTAACACATTCTGAGACTTCTCATATGTGAGGCCCACGGCAAGGCTTTATGCTCTCTCATAGTAGAGTATCAAGTACTCTAAACTGTTAACTAGTTTACCTAACCACAACAGGGCTTCAGGAAGTCTGAGACTTACGGGACACCTTTGTGCTCTCCCATAGTAGAGTGCCAAGCACTTTAAATTCTTAATCGCTTTTTTCTAAACACATGTTCATATTTCTCCTAAACTTCATTTTTCTGCGTCCACCTTATAGTGTACCTGACTGCTCCGGCTTTCTGCTCTCTAATACTAGAGTACCAAGTACTCTGAATTGTTAGAAACATTTTTTTTTATATTTACACATCTGTTCAGAGAACACGGGACGGCTTCATGTTCTCTCGTAGTGGAGTACCAAGCACTCTAAATTTTTATACACTTTTTCTAAGCACACTGTAGATAGCGTTTTTTTTTTCAGAAACGATAGCCTTTCTTGGGATATTTTCACGCAGAAATTTCTACCTGTTCGTCTCTTCTGGTTTGTATGTGCATATGGTGGCTTTGCGAAGTTAACCCCCACATGTTAATCATCGATCACGTCAATGGTTTGTGTGTCACACGATTAAATCACTTAGCGAAAGCTGAAGCACTTCCTCAACGCCCACTCATGTTCATCTGTTTGCTTCATTCATACTTGTAACGATTGTCAATCAAAAATCAATTATTACGCATAATAAAGTAAACATCAATACGCAAGTATTTGGTAGCGTGTAATTTTATTTATAAATTGCATAGATACGTAATTCTAAAAACTACAGCGCTCAATACGGTGCACTGACAATTCGACGCTGTGAACGATAAAGTGGTGAATGTTTCCTGCATGCTTCACTAGAACAACCCGCTGCTGCCACCTACCAGTGGCTTTGCCTTCTATAAGAACTTACATTTCTTGAAGCTACTGTCAGATGGCGTCCATATGTCACGCAGCGCCTACTCAACGATGTTCTCGAGCATAACGTCAAATAAACGTTTTATTCTCCCTCTCCAGGCAGAAGACTCATTTTTCGACAACCTTTGTCAGCAAAGCACGCTGATATGAAGCCATTGCTTATTGTTGTTTTCAGTTAGTGCAGTTGGACACTAGCTAGCCCAACGTCTTTCACTTCACGCACCGACACAGAAACTCGACTATGAGGCGTAAAGTGGTGGTGCAACTCAGATCAAGCTTGAATAATTAAGTTGGCGCTAGAAATCGCACGTTTACACGACCATGCCGCATTCGGTAGAACCAACCTGCTTTCATATATCGATGGCGTCACTACACTTTTAATCAGGTGCCGGATAAAGTGGCAACCGGGAAACTAGACAAATGGTCAGTTTGACACTTTGCTATATTTTTCACTGCTTGCAGGACGTCATTAATAGCATATGAGTTGTCAGTGACTAAACATTAATATCCGCTCAAAGACCAGATATGTTCTCAGTGTAAACAAAGCCGATGTGATTTATATGTAAGCCCTATAGCATGGACTTTGCTCTTACTTTTTGATACTGTGTAAATTGAGATAGTGCTTAAACAAGGCGCAGGAAACTTTATTGCTTTTATGAGACAAACTCCAAACATTCAAAATCCATAATTTTACATGATCAGCCTGCTTCCATTAAGACGAGAACTCAAGAAATACAGAGCGAAATTTACCATACAGTTTCATATACACCACAATACTTCACGACATCTCAAAAATACAAATAATAATGTAGTTTTACATGAAAATCTCAAGTCGGCAAGTGTCACGTGCATCACTTAGATGAATTATTGCATACCGACATAACAGGTAACACAACGTAAACTAGCAATCGGATATATGTGTCGTGAAGGTGATGTCGAGTTAAAACGTGACACACGTCGTAAAATGTAACAGGCAAGGCAACCGTTAAGGTTTACCGTTAAGACAACAGGCAAAGTCATCGGTCGCATGCATAAATGGGCTGGAACGCTCTTTTATTGTTTCTCTTCGATTTTATCTCTACATGCAGTTCCTCAACAGCCTCCGGTACTAAGGGACTCCCAAGGAAACCTACTGCTTGGTACAGTGGGGCCTTACGCTGAGGGAGACACAGTACGACTGACTTGCGCCGTGTCTGCAGGTTTGAAGACCCTATATGATCACTTCCCTCGGTTATTGACGAAACAACCTTGTATTTGTTATAGTTTCATTTCGATAGCAGTAACACGGATACTATAGGGTGATTTTGCGGTTGCCGTAATTTGCCGGATATGTATATGTACTTATGTATGCAAACAAGGCATAAAAAAAAATTTCATCATCTCCCCGAGAGGACCATAAGGTGATGTGGAGCATCGCGAAGAGTTTAAACGGTGTTTTTAACGGTTGTGTTTACCGGTTTGCGGTGATACCTTTGCGGCGAGCCTTGCGGGTTAATACTCCGTTAACTTGGTTCGTTACCATGAATCGCGTGAACGTAGTGTTGGAAGCTCCCGCGATCTTCCACATCACCCCATGGTCTCTTCGGGGAGATAGTGTAATTCTTTAGTTAACGTGCACGCTGCGAATTTTTATTGTACAACCATAGAGTGATATAAAAGGTTAAGAGAGGACACTTCCATAGACCCCAGCGGCCGATTTGAGTTTGCAGCACACCAAACGAGTGTGGTGAAACTTTGCAGCCTCAGAGATGGCAGACCACAGAAAAAAAAATGTCTCCGAGTTCATTTTGTAGTGACTGGGATTATTATACAGCCAGTGAGATCAATTCTACATGTGTGCTCGTCTCTGAGGCCGTACTTTATTTTTTAATGCGTTGTTTGCATGCATTGATGATCTTGGTGTAAGCTGCACCGCTCAAGCGGCAAGCACACGATGCCTGTGTGTGTCCATGCACACATTTTGATTAAAACATGAGAATCATTGGATAAGCGAAAGCTTTTATTTTCAAGTGATAATCTTTGTAAGCACATGCCCACTTTGTTAATGTTTGATAAACGCAGGCACAAAGAGAGGTTCGTTGCACTGCGGGACATGAAAATACAGCTGTCATATCATTATAAATTACACACAAGAAATATACAAATAGGCAACAATATAAGAAGAACAATAGCAGAGTAAAACTGCAATAAACGCACAAAACTACACATACAGTGCACAACGCGACACAGCAGTAGTTGCCTCAGCACTTTACTCCCTAATGAACAGAAAAAAGAAAAGTGTTGGCTACGTTTTCTTGCCACCTTCGCACAAATTTTCTACTGCACGTTCTTTCGTGAAAAACAGTCACAAGCGGTTGCCGCAGCAACAACAAAGCAATTTTAGGTGTCATGCAAGCCGTTAATGAGGCAGGAGTGTTTACTCAAATATTACGTCCTAGCTTTATCTAACAAACGTTTTTCTATATTCACCACTTTTCTTTAATTGCGCTCGTTAGAGCTTCAGGCAATTTGCGAATAGTGCAGATAGCGATACTCAGCATAGCTGCACTTTTAGCGAAATCTCACTCATGCAGTGAATTCTAGTACATGTAGTGGCACAAAGAAAACCCAAGAACGCGAGTAGTACGTGACTCAATTATTTGAGCAAAAAAAAAAAAAGAATTCTTGAAAACGCGCTGCGAAGCATTCAAGAAAGTTTTCTTTCGTGTAAAGCAATCCACGAAAACAGTACGCGAAGTGAAGAGCACACACACACAAAAAATCTCTGTGCCGAACAGCACAATGACAGAAACGTTAGGTTATGGCTTCAATGACTAAATGCAATAAACACTTAACATAGTATTCATGGTGCTCGTACCTACCAGCAACCAAGCTGAAAGGCACACGAAACAAGTGAAGACCACGACGCATGCCAGGCACGTTTTCGCACATCCTTTATGGCATCTCCCTGCGGCTTCCCGTACTTCTTCATTGCAGCAAATGCTCACAAACACGGAGCGTGACAACGTTGTCGTCGCGTCCGCGCCACGTGCACTCCTCTCGCATCCGATTCGTGCCTGATCGAATTCAGGGCCTTCAGGTCCTATCACATACGCAAAAACACGTAGGGTGCGTTCACACTTTACAAGTGAAAAGAAAACGATAACGCCACGAGCGAACGCACCAGCAGAAGCGACTGGCGGATTCAGCTAGCTGTACACAAACGCTAGGCACGTTGGGGCAAAGGAGGATAAAAAAAAATGCTGGAGTGGAAATGATTGCGCAGAAGTGAAGCCGTTCCTCTGGCAAGATGGAGGCTGTTGCGGCCATCTTACTAGGGGCACGGTAATATATCACCGGTCAGGGATTAAAAACGAAGCGTTTCTCTCGCACTGCCCAACGAGTTTAATGCGGGAACTTTTTCGGGTCACATAGTGCTCCAAGTGCGTCTTACGGTTACTAGTTTTCCTTAGTGAGCCTCTAATTGGAGGCAAAGTTCTTGAAGATTCAGTCATCCATACTCGCTTTCTGTGCGTTATTTCGTCGGGAACAACTATCTTTTATACATAGAACAATGTAGCATTGACATAACACATCAAAGCCACTTGATCTTTAAGTGGGCATTATCAGAAAAGAGCATGTTCAGCCATCTTGGCAGTGGCAAAAGGTGGCTTCACTTCTACTGGCAAGGCATTGCGGGAGCTTCCACTCCAGCAATTTTTCTTTAATCCTCCTTGGTTTGGGCATGCCGACTCGCTGCTCCTGCACCGTCTCATTCCCGAGTTCTCGGCGATCGTAATCCAAACCAGATTCTCGGTGAACAAGTCCTCGTTGAGGCTGTCAAGCTTCGTAGTGCTGCACGGGTAGTTTGCGATCGGAGGCGATGCGGGCAAGGTTCTGTATGGCGTCTCATACCCCAGTTGGCAGGCCTTTGGGGTGGTTGGTAAGCAGCAAGTCGTGTGGTGCCATCTTACGGCTGGGGTGAAGCTGCGTAGCTCAGCCGATTTTCGGCCCGAGTGACCACTTTTGTCATTGTTAAGTTATTAATGGTACAACAACGCGCAGGAGGAATCTCCCACCAGCACTCCTTGAGGAGAAGATGCAGTGCCTATAACATATTCAATGTTTACAAACACGGGTCCTCAATGGCATCCGGTTTTGTTCACAGATGTACCTTAACAGCATCGGTGGACAACAAGAGCTTTACAAAATAGCCCGCTGATTTTCTACAGTGTCCTTTCTTTGTTTGGCACAATATATTCACATTAGTGTTCTTTTGAGGTGCACAAAAAGTATGAAACATTCTTTTGTAACTAACGCACATTCCTTTAATGTGAAAAACGAAAGATAGACTTTCCTCATCCTCGAAAAGAACTGGAAAACTTGAACTTGAACTTGATTATATATATATATATATATATATATATATATATATATATATATATATATATATATATATATATATATATATATATATATATATAATCAAGAAACTCGCTAGCAGACACTACATGCGTCGGCTTGGCGAGACGCCGCGGGGAGGATTTCCTAGAGGAGAGCAGTGGGGGAGCAAGCGCAAATTAGCAGACGCTCCCTGCGCCGTCGTTGCGAGGCAGGAGAGGGGGAGCGTAGGAGAGGACAGAGAGGGAAAGGATGCGCATGTGCGATGGGGGAGCGAGCGTAAGCAGGTACTGGGAGATAAGTGGAGAGAGTAACACGCAGTTGTTGGAGATGGGGAAGGAGGAGTGTCATGCATGCGTAGTGTCAGGGCAGACAATTGGTGCGTGACATCCGCATAACATACCTGCGAGCAAGAGATGCTCCGCATCGGAAAATCAGTGGGGAAAAAATGCCCCTACCTCCCCGCAGGGAATCGTGAATAAATGCGAAGGCATTTCTTGCGCCGTGAGAGCATACAGCTGTAGTCAATTCGCCTTCAACACTGCCATCGCCCCGAGATGCGCTCAGCCAGCGAACAGTCGAGAGTGAGGAGCGAGCGGGCGGGAGAGGGGTGCCAGTGTTTTTGGCTCGGCGTTGGCTTTAAACAGCGGTGTCTCGAGCACACATTTCCGGATGTTCTTGATAGGTGCCCAGCCAGCGAGCGGTCGAGAGTGGGGCGACGGGAGGAGAGAGAGAGCGAATGTCGAGAGAAACACTTACCCTCTCCTACACTTTCTCGCACAACATGCTCCAGTTGCTAAGGGTGAATATAAGCACGCGCGCCCGCATCTGTTGCTAAGGGAGAAGGAGTGAGAGCGAAGAGATAACACCTTACGGTGCGCGGACGCTGCGGACAACGCTGGATGCCTGACTTAGCCAGACTAAGAAAAGCCTTCGCATTTAAAAATTCCAAAGACATACCCGATTCGCTCCTTTATCGAACATCACCTTTGCCAGATGGGAGGCGGCAATCCGCAGCTCGTCCTTGGCAGATCAGCTCTGGGCTGTCCACCAAGCCCGCAAGGCGGCTGAGGAGCTCGGCATCTCAGTTCCCACGTGGGAGCGGCCCGCAACAATGTGATCCGGGTTTTAGAGGACCCAATAAAAGTTTATCCAATCCTATTCTGGGGGATCGAATCAGTGACCCCTCGCTACGCCGCTCACTGCGCTAGCGAACCCAGCCACGTGCCATGCTTGTGCCTGCGGTAAAACTGCGGGTTATTGGCCGCTCGCGGTACGCAGATCTCGTAACAGCTTGAGCATATTTTTTGTCGTCAACGCTCTTATATTTTCTTTCAAGCTGAACTACTATGTCGTTTTGGAGGTAAAAGAGAGGCACAAAGACACAAACAAAGAAAGAACATGTGGTCTCTCATTAATTTTTCAGATATAAGGAAGGTGCGTAAAGTTAATTAAAATCTTCTTATAATATTTATGTAGCTGAAGAGAACATATATTTGATTATATTTTGCCAAATAAAGAAAAGAAAGGGTAGAAAATCAGCGGGCTATTTTCTAAAGCTCTCTTGCCCACCGAGTGTACTTCAAGCCTCTATACCTTCAAAAAAGTTCAGCATTTGGCGAAGGCCTTCGACAGGGTCGAAGTATCCAAGGGGTTTGCGTGGGGCCTACAGGACGGCTTTTTGCTCTTTCTTAGTAGAGTACCAGGTACTCTAAGTCGTTGACAACTTTTTCCAAACACACAGATCTGCGCTTCCTCGCCTCTTACTCATCTGCCACATGCAAAGTGGAGGACCTGTGCGAGCATTTCTTTCAAAAATGGTTGAAGTTTCGAATTTTATAATTATCGCGGCTGTTCTCAAGCATTGTCCTAAAATGCTTTGTTGCAATACATATCACGATGTGCGGAACTTTTTCATTGCTTTGGGGTGATACTGTGTGTTGAGTTCAGAGAACACATCCCAAAAAATGGGCAAGCTGTACTTTCGACAGTGATGACGCGACTGCGTTTTTTGACCTCTACATCACAGCACCATCTTGGCCGTCCAGCAATTAAAAATGGTTTCATGTGCGAAAACGACCTTTATCACCTGCATTATCTGAAACGCCATGAAGACGTGTAAAAACACAAGACAATAGGAGGGCGCCGCAGAGGACAAACATCTCAGAACGGCGTACTTCCGTGCGCAAGTGATTGGACAGGCAGAAGAGAGGTAGCATGTGAAACGTCATGAAGTTTTGAGCAATCACTTTCACGAACATTGTTGACAATGCTGCAGTTATAAAATGTCGAGATAGTTTGTACACACGGGAACTATTCCTTCCCAAACGGCGTGGCTCAAGACACCGCAGCTGTGATTTAAATATTTCTTACTGGTTCCATAATTAGCGTGCCGAGTTTTACTGAACTTAATTTCAAACTGTTCTCAATTAACCCAGTTCTGTATATCAGCGCCAGATACACGAGGCAGCACTACGCTGCTGAAAGGAGTTTAAACGACGTACAATTCGCTACAACTTGTGCATGACTTGCAGCAGCTCTTGTGCCGTAATAACAATGGTGAGTGCACCCAGTCTTGCTGAGGAAATCAACGCGAAAGAACCATTACATGAAGCAGAATGCGAGGCACAGCACACGGCCACGTTGTACAGGGGCGGCTGTAACTAATGTACACTCTAACAATGCAGCAGCGGCGGCGCGCCACCGGCTCGGAAGCAAACTGCAAGCTCGTGGCGTTCTACAGGGGGCGCCACAATCGCAAGCGAAAGAAAAAAAAAAGCAACGCGCCGGAGAGGAGGTGGTGAGGGGGAGAGCAGATGGGCGGTACTTTACGAAGTATAGGGACTTCAATCCTGCTTTGGCACATCAGTGGACAAAACCAGATGTCATCAAGGGGCTGTTTTTGTAAGGAGTGAAAGGGTCTATACCTATGCGTTCTTTTCGAGCGTCCTTCTTTGTACTGCAACGGCGTGCTGAAAGTATCGACTTGCTTTTCCCTCTTGTGATATTTACAATTTCTTGTGATCACACTTATTGACTCGCTTAGTGGCGAAACGGTGTTCCTTTTTTTCTTTTATTACGAGGCAGTAGCGCGTTTAGGACAAATACAGAACGAATCCTTTCACGATTGCTTCAGTGCATGTAGGCGGTGAGTATTCTTCGCAGTACACCTTCAAATTGATTCTTGATTCGGGAGCACATGCTGACGAAGATCTGGAAATTCAAGATTTATTCTACGTAGCAAATAACTTATTTTCAATTTGTGGGGTTGACTTCGTCGTATTACGGTATTTACGATTTCAAAGAAAAAAAAGAGAGAAAGAAATAGAATGAAAGCTAAAGTAATGGCAAAGAGGGTCGTCAGAGGTAGGCCTGCCAGTAGGCTACGTTGTAGGCACTCATGTTAGCAGTGTAACTAATTTCTGGACAGGCCCTCTCCGAGCCTCACATAGATTCATCGCAAATGTCAATCCCTCATTGCGTTTCCTCGATAGCTTTTCCTGTGCTAGGTGGAGCAAGAATGAAACGGTACTGCCTAAACGACTCTCTGTTTACAAAGCTCGGTGTAACGTAGGTGATGTGTATTCGGTCGACGTGTTAAGAACAGCGACCTAAGACACGCTTGCTTCGGCCCTTCATTGGCTCCCTAACAGTTAAAGTTCGCACACTTGAAGAACGCTCGTGTTAGGCTTGGTCGTTAAACGTGGTGATCATCCCGGCTTTTGCTTACGCAGACAATCTCAAGCTCTCTTGGAGGCGAAATGGCGAGCCACTCAGCTCGAAGGCAGCTACTTTAACGAAGACGCCTAGCGGTGGCCTGGAGAGTCACCTCAACCTGGGTCCTCTATTCCGCGAAGACTTGTTCTCGAACGTCAGTTGCGTGGCAACCAGTGACGTCACTCTGCCGACGGCAAGTTCTGTACTTATCGACATGTTTCGTAAGTACGTACGAACACCACAAACGAAATGCTTGGAATTAATTTCGCGCATATATTTTTTTTCAATGGCAGATCTGCTCAAGGCTGCGCTAAATTACTGGAGATCCGTCGTACGCGCTTTGTAGCCTAGATGCGAGAGCGATGCCGGACCAGAGGGAGAGCAAGTTTAAGCTGTGTGGGGGAGAGAAACACCTAGTGTAACGAAATGAAGCTGCAGAGTGATATGTTGGGCGAGTTTGTTCATTCTTAGAGTAGCTTTTGGCGCGAAATAAACACTAGAGACGGACAACCACGTGTTTCATTTCGCGCCAAAAGCTATCTCGTCTTTATTTCGCGCGAAAATCAACCGTAAGTATAAGATGAGGCTGGTAGAAAAATTGGTACGTGACGTGGAGAGGGTGAAGCTAGATATAGAGGAGGAGAGCAAAGCCTAAGCTAAATAAAGAACGAAGCAGGTGGTGTGAAAAGGAGAATCGGCCCATAACCATCCTGGAACGTCTGAAGGTTTCGCACTAATTCTGGAATGTCCACTTCGCTTGGCCTCGTATTCGTCCTGGACTAATCGGCAATGGCCAAGCTAAAGCTGTTCCCACCAGTGCCATTACCTAATAATGAGCCCCCGAGAATAATTTGTTTCCTCCCCAGGGGCTACTACATCTATCCTTAAAGTTATGCTTTTGCCCATCAATAAATTATGTCACAGAGATGTTCTCCTGGTTTGTCACAGTTAGAACGCACTTCGTTTTCTCGGTTCGCTCGCTCTAATACATCGCGATACTTTTAAAATAACGGCTCTCTATGAATTGGCAAATTAGCAGTTGCCAAAAATAGCCACGTTCTTAACGTATATATGTGTGTTTATAAAAAGTGGATATATATGTACTTACCTATTCATACTGTAGGTTTTCTTTTTTGAACAATAGAGGTCTGGAACAACATACCCAGTCATATTCGATTATTACGTAGACTCCAGTTTTTAAATGCCTAGACACAGTGCAAGCTTTACTCCTGTATAATTTTCTGTAATGTACTTGTTCTTATTGTTTACTTATGTTTACATGAATGTTGCTTCTTTTATGGAATTTAGAATCATGCTGATTAAATTTGCCATTTTTACAGATTAGGTCACTTTTATTTTACATTTCTACTGACTCGTGCGATAGCGCGGCCTATTTCCCACAGCATGTCAAAGTAAAAATAGTAAATAAATATCTTTTCTTGCGTTTTATAGGCGGCTCTGTGTAGCCGGTTCCGTCTTACTGGTGCAAACCGCTACCGTTCATCATTTCACGAAAACAAATAACCGTATCCCTTTCCCAACTACTTGTCTTAGTGCCTCCAGTCGAAGTATCCGTATGGAGCTGGGCTCATGAGGACGTGAATGCCTCCGGCTGGCTTATGGTCTCCCCTTCGCCTACAAGGACTGCGTCCTCGCTTTCGGCTTCGACATTGACTCTCGATACTAAAAATGGTGGATTGGGCATCTTCTCCGGCGTAGCCACCCAATCGGCAACCGTGAACTCGTCTTCGCCTTCTACGTTCTACTCGCCGCGAAGCTATGAGTGCGAGGCTACCGGAAGTCGACCGCCGGCGAACATCACGTGGTTCCTGGACGGACTGCCATTGGACGAACGGCTGAGCCACACTCGCTTCGAGGGCAACATCACGTCAAGCGTGCTTCTCCTGCCATCTTTGAAACATGCGGGAAAGCTGCTCGAGTGTCGTGCCAGCAATGACAACTTGAGGGAGCATCGTGGAGTACTCAGCCGCTACCTGGCCGTGAATGTTTCAAGTAAGTGAGCGTAAGACATCGAAGATAAAAGGTAGCAGGAGTCGTCCGGCAACGAGCCATTCAGATGTGTGGTCAGCAATTCCTCAGCAAGGATAAGTTCATGGCCCGCGCTGCGAAAGAAAGGCCCGAATGCTGTTCTAACAGTCAGTGTGTAAAACAGGGTTCTCAAAAACATTAAAAAAAACTCCGTAGCGCGTGGCAGAACCGGTTAGATCAAGTGACAATGTGATGTGAGGACGCTGTGATGTGACGTCTTGATGACGCCTTAGGGACGTCATGACGTCACATATTATAGAATGACGTTATAATTTATTTATTTACTTTACCATCAGGCCTTTCGGCAATACTGAGAAAAGTGGGTCATCAGAGAAACAATTTCAAAAAGTACCAGTGAATTACAAAGCCGACATAGTTCACAATTATAACATATTTTGCTAATCATACAATGCTGCTGAGTGTGTGAAATTTCGCGTACAACGAGAAAACGAGGTAATGCGATGGTCAAGAATGACGTCATTTGGTGACGTCATCATATGATGATGATTTTTTGCATCCATTGTGGTGGCGGTGGTGTCGCCGGACGCCCGTCCATTTGCCTGTTTCAACAGGAACCTATCGATTTTGCCTTAAAAAAGCTATTAAGGCTGCTTTCTTCGTAAGTATAATGAGACGGTAAGGAGGCAGTTGTTGGAAACTCGGGAGATGCTGAAAAGATGGGACATATTATGACTGCACGTAGTAGCTCCAAACGCGTCACACCAAAGCAACGGGCCTGCCTTGGCATCGGCCAGCAGTTTCTTTCGCTCTTCTATCGCACAGACAAGCCTGAAGTGAGCATCAAGCTGGGAACGGGTCTCAATGCGAGCCACATCACGGAGGGTACGGACGTGTACATGGAGTGCTCAGTCCTGGTCGCCTCGAGAATCGCCGACGTCACCTGGCGTCGAGATGGCCGAGAGCTGGACGCCGATCCGAACCAGGGCAGGGTGATCACTTCCCGCTACTTGGTGATCCGCCGAGTGACTCCTGATCACGGTGGAAGCTACACCTGTCGAGTCACTAACAGCCGCGGCGACACCGTCGAGAGCGTCCCGCTTGTGATCCGCGTCAGATGTGAGTGGGCGTGTTTGCCTTCACGGTTTTATAAAAAAACTATCATTCATCAACGTCGTACGATCACAGACAAAATGATTCCGGGGATACGTGAATTGACTTCCCTTACCGCGAAACTTTTTGGTGAACAAGAACTCGTATAACTCATATAGGGAAGTGGGTACATGTAGGAAACTGATATAAGGAAGCGGGTACAAGTAGACAATATGTGCATCCATCTCGAAATTGCCTACCTGTAACTTAGCAGTGTGGCAGCTTGGGCTAGTTATTTCTTCTATGTTCTCATTTAGGGACGGCTTACTACTCTACCGTAGTTGAGTACCAAGTACTCAAAATCATTAAACATTTTTTTTTCTAAACACAGTTGGTATGGCATACCGATAGTTATAGCGCGACAACAGAACGACGACAAAGAGACAAGAATGTCCATCGTGCCCTTCTTGTCTCTTTGTCGTCGTTCTCTTCTCGCGCTATAACTATCATCATGCCTACCTGTACTTCGCTCAGCTCTTGAATAGACAAGTGTCAACCTGATTGTTCTTAATTCCGCCTTTAACTTCTATTTGCCGTGTATTTGCGCCTCTATTTGCCCTAGCAGCTGCTGATACATTCTGGCCGCCTGGTGTTGTCGCGTTTCACGTAGACCCTCCCAGGTGCGTTTCCAACGAAGATCTCACCCTGAGCGTCGAGCGAGACAAAGCCGTGAACCTGACCTGCCACGTGCGTAGTGATCCCAGCCAAGGTCTACGCTATTTCTGGCTCGCTGAGAACAGCACGCACAGCACGCAAGCTACGCCGAGAAACCAAACTCAACGGCACCGGCAACTGCCCTTGCCAGTCGTGACGGAATCGAACCGCTTGGAGATCGTGGCCAACGCTTCAATCTTCAATACGGCGCTCGCATGCTGGGCAGAGAACGCCGTGGGCACCCAGAAGAGGCGCTGTCGCTTCACGTTTGTACGTAAGGGTACGTATTGGGGTACTTCCGAAACCCCTGCCCGAGACAAAATTATCTCATTACATTAGAAAGTGATTCAGGTGCGTTATGCGATAGGGCACGGGAGAGGACAAATAGAGGAAAAGAGCACCGGTGCGTAAACGATCGGTTGCCTGAGAATCACTTTAACATCTTTAATACAGTTGAGGAGCAAATCTACCATCATGGCCACAGCTGTAGGTGACACACCGTTTTAATCAAAATCAAGGGTTTGCGGTGCTTAAAATAGTTATTTCAGAGGAGTGGACTGTTGGGCGAGTTAGTGCTTTGACACAGAAACCATCGTGATAGCGCAACTAAACACAGCACACAAGAAGAAACAGACTACGACAGGCGCAAGCTACCAGCTGGCCAATCCAATTGACAGTTTGCGCCTGTCCTTCTCTGTGTCTTCTTGTGTGCTCTGTTTAGTTGAGCTATCACGATGGTTTTTATGATAAGGTACAGTTAAGTTGAAACGTAATGGAATCGCCAATAATGATTAGGCTATGTAAAGGATGAGCTAGCGCACCGTTTATTGCGATTTCCAATGAAGAACTTAATGAAGTAATCTAGCTTTAGCGCAAAAGGTTACTGTACGCTTGCAGCATATGAGAAGACCTACCAGTGATGTGCTTGTCTTCTCTTGCCTTGAAACCACTTCCTCGCCTCGTACATAGACATATTTGCACTGAAATAAATCTGGCCATTGGTCATTGCCTTTTTTTGTTATGTCTCGTTTTCTATTGTATGCGCTGTTCCAAACACTGCGAGTACTCCAATCGCTGCTTTATTTATTTATTTATTTATTTATTTATTTATTTATTTATTTATTTATTTATTTATTTATTTATTTATTTATTTATTTATTGGGGAGATTAGCTTCTAAGAATTGCGACTTAGCTACCTTGAAAACGTTTTCCATAGAAGAAGGCCTACTCATGGCTCACTGAGCAAGTGGAGCAGATAGTTTCCCTGTTTGTTTTTGCTATTGCTATAAGGAGATCTTGGCGCACAACTAAGCGTCGGCTCCCTGAGGTTGTTTAACTCGCACACGAGTCGACTCGGTCAGGCTGACTCAAACCGAAATCGAACCGAGAGTGTGAGTATGAGTGAGTCGGTGTGGGCAGTATTTTGATCAGTGCGTCCGATCGAGTCCGCCCTGGAAACTTCTGAGAGTCTGAGCTCACGTGAGTCTGGTTAAAAAACTCTGGGGAGCCTGACTCCGAGGGAACCTTAATCGCAAAACATATTTGTTTACTCAATCTCAGTGAGCTCCTCATTTTATTTATTTATTTTTATTTTTACCAGCTTATGCCATCTACTCCTCGGCTCTTTAAGAGATAGAGCGTTTTCTGCGCAAGCACTCGGTTCTGGTGCTTAAGTTAAAATCACCTCTCTGACTACACCTTTCCATAATCTTGCGTCCTTCATTCTTACGCTTTCTTGTGCACATAAAAAAAGTGTACGCATACATGCAGTAACATTTGTCACGGCAGAAAAATAATACATAAAGCATCGCTCATCTGTCACCTGCGCAGGCGTGCACGCACCGACCCTGAACTGCAATGTGGGCAACTACACCGACAGTTCTTTCACCCTGACCTGCTCCACACCTTTGTCAAATGTCACCAGGACATCACCACCGAAACTGGGGCAGGAGCAGAGACTTCGTGTGCAGGTGTTCGACGCCAGGAGGGGCAACCGGTCCGAGCGCAGCTTCTGGAGCACGGACCTGGGTCCCATTCTCGTCAACCGACTTCGCCCTGCCACCGACTACTTGGTCGTGGTTCGAATGCCTCCAGGGGCGAGCTTCGAAACTTACGTACGCACCCAGGGTGCGGCGCAAACTGTCATTCATCAAGATGGTGAGGGCCCTGAAAATATAATCATTATGCTCAAGTTAAGCTATCTAAGAAGGAAATTGCCACTTTAAGGTTTAGTTTTCCTCTCCTAAATACGATGTAAATCAGAACTAATGGACAACAATGACAGAGGAGGTATAGGGGATGTTAATAATTCTTTTAATGTAAATGTGACGAAAGAAAAGTGGAGGGAAAGATAACTTGCAACCAGCAGGACCCTAACCTGCGACCTTCGAATAACGTGTCCCATGCTCTACCACTGAGCTCTACGGTGGTAGCCATCCCCCTGTCCACTTTATGGGGTATATATGTGCATTTAAACGTGGGAGCGTCAGTCAGCGCCACCTATCGTCATTACAGCGAGTGTGGAACCCTCTTTTCTTGCCTGTTTGATGTCGGCTAATTCTTGGGCTTATTACGAGGGGCCAGCGGACCCATCATCTCTCGCATACCACCTCAAGACATCTCTTTCACTCAAGCTTCTATAACATTGAAAACGAAAAGAACCATGCAAAAGGTTAGGTATCTTAAGCTGCTATGTCGCGCCCCAAGGGGTTATTAAAGAGTCATTTAATTTCCCCGCAGACCTCCAGAGGAAGACACGTGGTGGACGTTGGACACTTGTACTGAGCGTCGTCGTGCTGGCATGCAGCCTGGTTGCGACTCTGACGGCACTGATCGCCATGTACTGCGCACACGTCCGCAAGAAGAAGACGAAGAAGCGACGGAAGCGCCTGTACAAGGACGGCAAGAGCGACGCCAGTTCATCGAGTCACGATGACGTCGACTCCGTGCGCATTACGGATCACAAAGAGTACCTCGCTGCGACGGATGTCTGCTGACACCCCAGACGGCACGGGCGCAGACTGCGAGAGTTGGACTAGCAGCCATAGGCAGCAGTGACGTGTATATTTCTTAATGCGAACTGCCGTTGGACCACGTGAAGAGTAGTTAATGACACAACGGTTTTGTGCACGACAGGTTGCTTCAAAAACGGCAACCTATGACTCATGCTATGGACCGTGTATAACAAAGGGACCATTTAAAAGCAACTGTCTTCTACGCGTGATCACGTCGTTATGGGTGGCGAAGCCTTCATCTGTCAAGGCACGCAATAAAGAGATTGAACCGTCCTCCGTGCTGTTGTCGTGGATAGGGTGTTCGTCTGCTGAACGGGAGGTCACGGGTTCGATTCCGTCCGTGGCGGTGGCACTTCAATGGAGGCGAAACGGTGGAGAGCCGTGGGCTCTGCGATACCACTGCACGTCGCAGAACACCAGATGGTCCAAAGTTCCGGGGCCCCCCACTACGGCGTACCTCGATCATATCGTGGATTAGGGACGCGAAGCTCCAGCTAATATATGAATAGGATTGAACCATCTATCGGGCGAACTTTCAACCAATAAAGCAAGTGACAGAATGCCATAGCGGTAAGTGCAGTCATTGGTTACGGAAAATTTTGTCGGTTTATCTAAAGCGTGCAATATTAACAAGTTTACGCGTAAGGATTGTCTCAGTAGGTTGTATTTGGCGTAAACAAATTTGACTGTGCAAGTGGAGACAACAGTATTTATCCCAGAAGCACGGCATCCTGATAGACTTGTGCTGACATTTTCCCTGTGCTTTATGAAGGAATAAGTGGTGAGGGTGAGCGAGCGCCTATAAGAATAGTAAAAGGGCGAAGAAGAAACAATCCTCTAGGCTTTCACTCGGAGTGGTTGAAGGCCCTTGAAGGTAAATTGTCAGAGTTCAACGTCCCGAAACCAATATGTGGTTACAAGGGGCACCGTAGTGGGGTGTTCTGGAAATCTCGACCCAACTTGGGTTGTTTAACGTGCGCTTAAATCTGAGTACGCGGTTCTCAAGCGTTCTCGCCTCCCATAACACGCATCGTAGTATAGCCGAGAACTCCAACCGCGTTAAGTGCGGATTGCTCATATAAGAAAAATAAAAAAAAATGTACCGCAAATAACTTGTGTGATAGTACTATATGCATGCGTGACCTAGAAGTCGATAAGCGACGGGCGAGTGTGTTTCGATTTTGATAACAGCAATAGTTCACACAGAACAAAACGATTACGCCTGCGTGCCCCGCTCCTGTCCACCGTTATAGGACGAAGTCACCTCGACCGACTACCTAAGCGCACTGGGTTAGCTATTCTCAGGTGTACGATTCGGCCTCCCTTGATTGGCTGGAGCTGTCGGGAAGCGCGCCACCTGTTCCGGTTCTTTTTTTTTTTTTGCAACGTCAATTTGACGTCACGCTGCTTCCACAATTCTCGACAGAAATAAAAAAAAAAGACTGAATGCGTTTCGCCACAACCAATGCAGCCCTCAGAGATCCGCTTTTGGACGCGCTTCTTGGAGGCCGTGCATGAACTCTAATCACGTTAGCCCTTGAATTCGGTTTAACGCGGTCACCCGCCTAACGCCCCTGAAAGATCTGTACGCATCGCCTGCATCGGTCTTCAAACATTTCAGCATGTTCGTGCGCACGTTCACACTCTTCCAAGATTGTTTGAGCGTCCTGTTAGCATTTCCGATGGAGGCGGAAATGTCGTAGGCCCGTGTGCTCAGATTTGGGTGCACATTAAAAAACCCCAGGTGGTCAAAATTTCCGGAGTCCTCCACTACAGCATCTCTCATAATCATATGGTGGTTTTGGGACGTTAAACCCCACAAATCAATCAATCAATTGAGCGTCCTGTTACTTTATAATTCATCCACTTCGTTTCGCTGGAAATATGCTGGCAGGTTCGATAGGCCGACGTGGTCAAGCACGCCATGACGTCATCACTCGCCGTTTTTTTTTAAATAACTTAACGCGCAATGGCGAATTAAATATGTCCACGAATCGGACACTGCGATAATAGCTCCCCTGAAGTGACAAGCCTTAATGGGCCTCTGAACCACGCCTGAAAATACGAACGAGTGCATTATTTTCCCTTCCCGGCGTTTCCTGTCTATGCCGCGTAATTAGTCACGTCAACTGTCTGTTCACGTGAGGTCGGGACGAAACAGGCTCTCGATTGACCGACATTCGACACGTATCTGTCGTGTATTTACCGTCTACGCTGCTTTGTCATACATTCGCATCTGCGGGCTGCCTCGTATTACATGACTGCCATGCGCGATAGACTGACCTCACTTCGTTTTCGGTGTTTGCGACTGCGTAGGCGGAGATAGCACCACACAGTCGAAAAGCGTGAAATCCTGACGGACTCGTCACTTAGTGGTGACATTCAACGTGTTGTCTGAAGAAATGAGGGGCGAGGAGAAGGTATCGCTCGTAGGAAGGGGAAGTAAGGTGAGAAAGAAGCTACTTTCTCTCCTCTGAACTCGGTAAGGCTTAGGAGCCTTTAAGCGCGTTCGCACTGAGGCGTTTCACTGTTTACAAACTAAGAACCTTGATGACATCCGGTTTAATCTACCGATGTGCCTAAATAGCTTCAGTGGCCAGCCCACTAATTTTCTACACTTTCCTTCCCTACTTTGACAAAATATATTCAAATAAATGGCCCCGCCGTGGTGGTCTAGTGGCTAAGTTATTCGGCTGCTGACCCGCAGGTCGCGGGATCGAATGCCGGCAACGGCGGCTGCATTTCCAATGGAAGCGGAAATGCCGTAGGCCCGTGTGCTCAGATTTGGGTGAACGTTAAAGAACCTCAGGTGGTTAAAATTTCCGGAGCCCTCCACTATAGCGTCTCTCATTATAATAGAGTGGCTTTGGGACGTTAAACCGCACATATCAATCAATCATTATTCAAATAAATGTTATTTGAGCTACATAAAAACTACAAGAGATGGCCTTGAACATTACGCATGCTCTTTTTATCTGAATAACTAGTAAGATGCTTTCCTTACCTTTGAAAAAACGTGAAAGAAAACGTCCTTTCAGTTCCGACTTTACGAGTTGGTAAATGAGGTGACCGGAATTTTTATTTGGTCACAATGCTTGCAATCTTGAAACCATCTATATACCGGTACGGAAACAAAAAAAAAAGTTCGGTAGCAGCAAGTTCAGCTGTAACAGCTCTTGCCCTGCCGATCAGGCACAGGTCGATAACGATGGCAGTTGTAAAAGTGCCAGCAAAAAAACATTTTGAAGTGTGCAGGTGTGCTTTTAATATCGCCGTCGTCAAAGTCTGTAGCGACAAGGAAGTCCTTCGTTATCATCCTCCTTTTACCTACAGGCGCGAATGAAGCGCGATAATTGTTGTCGCCATCGGCGATACATCTCGATTTATTTTTGCAACGCACGCCGTCGCAACCTCGCATATGGGGCAGCAGTATCTTGGTGCGACGAAGCTTATGACGCTTTTGAAAAGCAGGACGAAGCATCACTGCTTGGGTCGCTTTTTTGTGAACGAATACATAATTCGGCTCGTAATGTGTCGCCAAACAGTAGCTTACAGGTCATGATGATATGTCGGGTTTACCGTCCCAAAACCACCGTATGATTATGAGAGGTGCCGTAGTGGAGGGCTCCGGGAATTTCGACCACATGGGGGTTCCTTAACGTGTAACCAAATCTGAGCACACGGGCCTAGGGCAAAGTAGGTTACATTTCAGCACGCTTGCCAGTTATACGCTATTGTTCGCGTAATTCGTTATCAAAACGTGCGAACACAACGAGAGCGGAAAACCACCGGTACTACATCTATGATATCGGGTCCCCGCTTTTTGGTTAGCGCTTTACAACGCAGATGACGCTGTGGGCAGTTTCGGCGTAAATGCACTTTGTTTGGCCGGCGTGTTAGCAACCAGTCGGACCGACGCGGCGTTTCGGCGGCAGGAGGATACCCCTGTCTGTAGACCGCGTACATTCCCCGTCCGACCACAACTTTAAGGCGATGCTTTAAGGCCAGTTTACCGCTTCAGCTGGTGAGTGTGTCACTCTCGTTTCTCGCTTGAAAAAGACGTTCATGTTATTCAAATGCTCTCATGTTCTCTTTCTTAATGTGGATAGCGTAAACTAATCTTATAAGTTAGCGAATATCAACAATAAAAAAATTTCGCGCTTCTGAGGGGCGCCAATGTTCTCGCACGTCAACACGCGTACTGTAAGGTACGTAATGTTGAATCGCTGCTGTAGACTCGCGTGTTGGAATAGCTTGTAAATTCAATTTAACAAGAAATTAACTCCGGGAACTGTGTGCTCATTGACGAAAGTCGCGTCCAGAAGGTATGTCATTCGTTTTGTGGCCGCGCTACGACTCGCTTTTTCAAAGTACGTCCCATGAGAGCCTAAATCGGACACCGCTTTCTCGCCGTATAGGCTTCTGCGTTTTACGCAATTCCAACAGCGCACAGACGAAACGTAACAATCTTGAGGGTTTGCAGTCATAAAAATATAGATATCATTGTGAGGCATGTCGTACTGGAGTGCTCTGGAAATTTAGATCCCCGGTTGTTCTTCAATGCGCATCTAAATCTATAACTACACGGTTGTCTAGCGTATCGCATCTGTCGAAACGTAGCTGCCACGGCCGAGATTCGATCCCGCAACCTTCGGGTAAGGATTCTAGCCCCATAGGCACTGTACCTCAGAGATTGGTTTCTGACAAATCTGAGACGGAACAAAAAAACGGATGAATATACCGTATTGGTGCGTTCACGAGATTTAAAAAAAAAATTCCTCGTCGTAAGATGATTCTTTCGTTGGAGCGCGTAAAATTGGGCTTGGCGCATGCTCACAGACACCGTGTTAGTTTCTCCATGCGTGTGCGTTTGATTTCGCGTTAAGTATTCTCGCTGGGTCGCACTTTCACACACGTGCAGACATATATATGGTAATAGTAAATGACGATAAAAATGATTCGCTTGCTACGCCTTGGGAGGT